CCCCGGTTATATAGCGTATTTAAAACAATAAGGGTAGTTTTAAGCCAATTGTTACTAACGGCCAAATTGTTGAAAAGTAAATAGCATTTTTGAAAATATTTATATTTTAGTGCTTAATATGATAATATGAAATAATGAATGCTTTCTTTTAATTACATTAATTACATTATTTTAGTTATATTATTTTGCTGATATTCATTTTTAAATTATTTTTTTACACTGTATCACACATCACTTTAAACTCACAAAAAAAACTTCAACTTCGTGGTGCATTTTGGATTTGTTATTGAAATATATATCGGATATTTTCATCAACATTTGTAAGACGGATTTAAAACAATAAAGTGTTCAAGCAATTGTTATTACTAAGTGGCAATCTGTTGAAAAGTAAATAACATTTTTGAAAATATTTATATTATATTGTTGATCTATGAAATAATAAATGTTATATTTTAATTACATGCATGTATACATGGTGTACTTCTGCCATTACATTTTTCCACGCCTTAATGTTCTATCAACGTGAAGATGCATCATTGAATAAAAATATGTAAACGTTCTGATAGTTATTTATATTTTCTTTTTGAATTGACAGAAAGTGAATTTAGATAATTATTTCCTGTTTTCCACAGAAGCCAGTATACTTTTAACATGGTGGTAGGCAAGTTATATCTACATTACTGGATAATGAGTTTGGGAATAATGCAATTGATGATTTCTGTATTGGTTTTAATATCGAGTATATTTATCACACTGTTCATTGGATTTATCTATGGATTGGCCCCTATTCTGATAGGAATCTGTGTAAGTGTGCGTTTAATGTAGTTTCTAACGTTATAACATATGTTTTCACATAATTGTAACACTAACAGTTGTTTGCTGAAATCTTTTGTTCTATTTTTACATTACATATTATGTATTCACGAAACGGAAAATAAAATTATTACCTGAATATCGTCTTCGCTTAAGGTACGATTCGATTTGTGACTACGGGTCGATATATAACCAAATTTGTTTGTGTTATTATTTCTGTCAACACATTTAAAGCAAACATGTCTGCTAGTTATGTTTATTAGACAAACAAGCACCAAGGAAAAATGTTCAGTTTGAACAGAAAAATTACAGGTGTCTTACTGACAAATAATTGCATAATCGATCAGTTTGCTTTAGCAGGAATCCTCGCAGTGCTCATGTCGGAATATAAAAAAGATGGACTAGTAAGTTTAAAACATTCTGAATTTTTGCGATTCGGTGATGGTGAATGATGATTATTTTAAATGTCGAAGACAACAACGATAGTGATGATGATACGTTCTTTTACAGGTTACAGCAGTTGTGATTATGTCTGTTATCAGTTCATTTCTGGCAGCAGGACTTTTTATTGGTTTGATAGTTATGATTGCTAGATTGCGATCTGTCTATGACACTATTAGCTGTGAAGACAGCTGTCAGGATACTAAGGTACGCCAATCATTGTGTGTAAAGACGGAATTGTTTTTTTGTGAATGGGCTTTAGATACCCAATCGTCCATGCACTGTTTGCACTAAATGTACTAAACTAATGACTAAATTTCAGGGTCTTGCTTATGGAATTATTGGTTTCATGATCTCTATGACTTCATTGGAATGTGCTGTTGCAATCCAGACTGCATCCTTGAGTGGTGGTTGGTATTTCTACGACACACATGATAAGGTATTACTAGTTTATTCAGCTTAAACAGAGAACTACTTGATGAGCGACACGTATTCACCATCCCTAGCTAGTTGCATGTATTCAAATTCACTGACTTAACATTGGTAAGCATGCACCAAAAAATATTTGCACAGAAACATAGTTGATCTTGTTTGTTCACATTTATGTTGATTAGGTGACCAACGAAACAGAAGAAGAAGACGCAATGCTACCTTAAAATCAAAACTGTGTGACAATGTATTATTATTATCAGTGTTATTATTCGTAGTATTATCATGGAAGGGTGTTTTCAAACTTCTTAATATTAGTGATGAGACGGACAGATGTGTCCTGAACACACTGTTTTTTATGTTGATAAGCGAGATCCAATGAAGTAGACGATTACAGTTGTGAAGTTTTGAAGTCACAAAGACGTGGAAGAGAAGACGAACCATGGCATTAGTTGTCTATTCTCGGATTTTGTAGATGTTTCTATTAAGAAAATATGATGATTTGCAGACTAGTCTGTAGTTTTGAAAGTCAAATACAGTAATGAAAGCAATTAAAATGATTGACTTGCATTTGTTATATATGAGTAGCTGTATTTGTATGTAGCAAACCATCCTAGATTAGAGGCGATTGTAAGGAATGGTTAGAAGTGTGGAGTAAATACATTATCAACTCTAGAAACTAAAACAAATGATGTCCAATTCTTAAACATTGTTGGAAATTTAATGTGAGTCAACAGTACTTTAAGCTTACATTGTCTTGTGCAGCAATGGACCAGTTACAAACAGAACTAGAATTAAGTTTGAACAATAAATTTAAGGAATGCGAAAACAAAAAGACTTAAACCAGACATATCATTTCCTCTGTAATTTGTTAACGATTGGAGAGAACAAACACTGTAGAAATTAATTAATAATTGTTCAATGTTTATGTTCTCAAGATTAGGAAATTCACATAAGTCCCTAGCATTTATCTAGCTGACAACATCTTCAATATTGTAGGGTTTCGGCACAAGGAAGAAGGGTAATACCATCCATAAGAGCGTGTATTTGTATATCACAATTCATACTCCAGTAGCAAATTAAGTAAATACAGACATTTTACTCGAGAACATTAACACATTTTTATCATAACATTTACTATTCACTACAAGACACATATATACTATTCATATAACATGAAAATCTATTCAGGCTCGGAAAGGTGAAAAGAGCATTAATTAAAAACAGAAAAAAATGTATACAGACAGAAAGATGTTTAGAAACGAGCCCACAAAAACTACTTACATGATGCCTAAACATGTAAACTAAAATGTTGTTTCCATTATAAATAACAATTTAGGAGAAATTGGAAACATCTCTAGAGAACCAATATATGTCAAGCATTCGAAAGCTAATGTTTAGAGATGATTCGTCCTTGTCCTAATAACCCTTTTATTATGTACACCGTATTAACAGTTTCAGAAATGCACATTGTTCCATGTCATTCATATTTGTCGGTATCCGTATCTGAAAAAAACGAACAAAACCCAAGATATTTTGCGGGTAGACTCTTCATTTAACTTAGTTACCAATTCGCGAGTACAAAGACATTAATATTGTTGGGTTGATGTCAAATTGCTTACAATTAATTAACAATCATTGTTTTCTTATCTCTGAATTCCTTCTGTTCAGAATCACATACATTGATGACATTTGACTTGATCATGCTCCATTCAAATGTTTACTTACTTGTGTACTGTATGCAAGAAAGAACTCAAGAAACATCTAGGCAGATATACGCGACAGGTACCCAGTAAACTTAGCTTATAACGTTTATAAAAGACAGTATAGAAGATGATTTGTTTGCATCATCAACCTAACACACAAACATGTTTAATAATTATCAGTAAATATATGCCCATAGTATAACGCATAGTCAACACCCACAGACGATGACACAAACCAAAATTATATTATTTACCACAACGTCAAATAAATAATAATACATATAATTGTTTCTTGAAACAAATACTAATATAAGTTGCAAAACTTGAGCACTATTTAAATTGTAACACAAGTTTCAAAACAATATAATCTTAAAGTTCAAAACATCATTTTCAAAAAAAGAGGTTTTAATCAAATCACCTACTAATGTATAGTATTACGTCTTCGTACTGGTAACTTGAAAAAAGTGTTCTCAAAGGTCAAACTCTGCTGAAGATACCATTCATTTTTCAATGTAGGAAACACACTAATATGTTTGACAATTTAGTTTTGTTCTTGCTTAATTTACGTTTTTATACAATTCATATTTGCCCAGACATGAGACACTGCATATTTTTAAATACATCTATTATATCACCACCTCCTTTCAAAAAAGAATGTTCCATAGTATTCAATTACAATTAAGCAGCAAAAAAACTCAAATTTTAGCTGACATCATGAAGTTAGGATGGTGTACTACTTGCACTTCTCCAGATTGATATAATACTCTTTAGGGATGCAAGCAAAACTGAACTTGTATTTTAGAATGGTGACATGCTACGGACACAAAAAAGCTGTGAATTGTTCAAACAATTATGGGGATATGAAACTAATTTCTTTTACAATGCAAAAAGTAATACAAATATAAATATTAACACAATCATAGGTAATACAAATAGTAATACTGTTACAATTCTAAGATAATACTATAAATATTCAAAACAATGATATGACAAAAATATGATTGTTCATGAAGAATGTTATACCTCTACAACAAGATTATGAGACCTAGTTAAAATTAATATAATAAGTAAAAGTTGATTAGTTATGTATGTATAAAAAGTATAGACTTTTAGTTTTTTTATTGGGGGTTGACTGTTTATGACCGCAAATATTCATACTGATTCTGATCCAAAGGTTCGACAATCGGAATTACACTGTACAGGTTTACGTACAGTGCGAGATATTTGTGAGTTTGAAAACAATACATGCTTTTCTGTTGCATGAAACGCGAGTGTTTCGTGTCAATTCGTAAAGAATCCTATGAATAATAAACCGGTCTTTATGAAACAGAACCAAACTAATAATGACGACTATTGCAGTAATTACATATTCTGTTTTGAAATAAAACTCCAGTTATTATCAATACTATTTGGAAAAAAACAGTAATATGTTTTATGTAAATATAAGGTAAAGGGGGCTTGACACAAAAGGAATAAATTAAGATTAATTCAGTAGTTACCATTAACGTTAGCCTTTGTATTTGTCTGTTCTGGCAATGTAAAGATGGTAATTAATATACAAAAATAATCCCAAATACACCAACTGCCACTGTTGCTGAAAATATTTGCGCTAGGTAAGTGAAAGTGGTTGAATATAGGTTATAATTTTGTTTGCTCTCGTATGATAATTGATCAATCAAAGTAGAAAACAATTGTTCTTCATTGTGATATTTTGTTGCAATCTTGTTTGTTTAAGTCAGAAACGAATGATTTGTCAAGGGCAATGAAATGTTAAAACTTTGACTAGCCACTGACTGGTTGAGGAACCAGTAATATAACGTATATCATACCTAGGAAAGATAGCCAAGATGAAGTGGAAATCTGGCATATAGTTGATCAAAATTGTATTGTGATATAAAATAGAATAAAACACATGCAGGATAAAACGAATTGTAAATAGGTAAGAACTTACTACTGCATAAATCGTTTTTATCACTAGAGTAGTGAGTTAAATCTACATTGCTTAATTGCATAAATGTCACATCATCAACAGAAATCACAACATATTCAGGTAACGTTTCTACCATTGTAAGTATACTCTGTTGTTGTACACCTTGTTGAATATTTTCATGGTAGGGAATGACAAATTGCATAACTCATACATTTTGGTCACGAAAGTGAGTGGATTATTTTACAGCTTATAATAGTCGCGGCGCAGGAAATGGTGGTATGTTCTTTGTGAAGCACATCATCACCTTCACAATTCCAATCTCGTCACTGCGAAGGTTTCGACATCCCAGTGGGTGCAGAAAAAGTAGTAGCACAAATCCTTCTTTGTCAGACACTCAACATAGTGGCACGGACAAATATATAAATTCAAAATTAAGGAAGTGAAAATGTAGAATTCATACATCTTGTATAATACCAAACTGAGAATATGGTTTCAAAAATAAAAGTTCAAATAAAATAACCTACAATGGAAACTTGATTTACAGCATGGTTCTCCTCCCTCCCCGTACACAGCTCTCACAATAAATTGTTATACACAACATTACTGCACGTCTAAACGAATTTCATAGCAATTTTAGGACCACTGGTCGCTGGCAAGCAAAAACAATTTGCATATGAATTACATAATCATACAGCTGCCCACCCATGTCATATCTGCTGCAACCATTATCAGTACAGGGAGGTTGCACCTGCTGATTTACCATTATTTCATACCACGTTTTACATCAGGCGTCGTCTGACGTATAGCACAAGTACATCACAGCATTCATTGTGCTGGATTTCAAGTACATTTTAATACTACAAGGTAAGAATTTGTGATGTTTTGCGCCAATTGATGATACATGCATGCAATTATGTACACAGACAGATCATTGGTTGACAGATACAATGCAATTACTATATTCAGACGGGAAATTAATTGGTTATATAGCACTAGAAATAAATTGACAAATAATTTACCGGACAGCCAATTCTATAACTTGAAATACAAAACAAACAAATTATCAAAATAACCAAAAATATATTATTCAGTATATTTGTATGCAAATAAGTCTGCATACATTATTCAAATATATAATCTATAATCTTGCTCTTTATAACTATAGTAGATACGGACATAATGGTACATATCATTTTGTTATCACACATCACTTCAAACTAACAAAAAATAAAACTTCAACTTCGTGGTGCATTTTGGATTTGATATGAAATATATATCGAATATTGTCATCAACATTTTAAAGACGGATTTAAAACAACAAGGGTGTTCAAGCAATTTTTGTTACTAACTGGCAATCTGTTGAAAAATAAATAACATTTTTGAAAATATTTATATTATATTGTTTAATAATACGTTAATAAATGATATTTTTCAATCACATGCATGCATGTATGCATGGTGTACTTTTGCCATTACATTTTTTTTCACTCAATAATTTTCCATCAATGTGAAGATGCATCATTGAATAAAAATATGTAAACGTTCTGAAAGTTATCTATATTTTCTTTTTTGAATTGACAGAAAGTGAATTTAGGTAATTATTTCTTGTTTATCCACAGAAGCCAGTATACGTTTAACATGGTGGTAGGCAAGTTATATCCCTATGGGATGATGAGTTTGGGAATAATGCAATTGGTGATTTCTGTATTGGTTTTAATATCGAGTATATTTATCACACTGTTCATTGGATTTATTTATGGATTGGCCCCTATTCTGATAGGAATCTGTGTAAGTGTGCGTTTAATGTAGTTTCTAACGTTATAACATATGTTTTCACATAATTGCAACACTAACAGTTGTTTGCTGAAATCTTTTGTTCTATTTTTACATTACATATTATGTATTCACGAAACGGAAAATAAAATTATTACCTGAATATCGTCTTCGCTTAAGGTACGAGTCGATTTGTGACTACGGGTCGATATATAACCAAATTTATTTGTGTTATTATTTCTGTCAACCCATTTATAGCAAACATATCTGCTACTTATGTTGATTAGAAAAATGTTCAGTTTGAACAGAAAAATAACTCGTGTCTTACTGACTAATAATTGCATATTCGATCAGTTTGCTTTTGCAGGAATTCTCGCGGTTCTCTTGTCTAAATATAAAAAAGATGGACTAGTAAGTTCAAAATATTCTGAATTTTTACAATTCGGTGATGTTGATTAATGATTATTTTAAATTCCGAAGACAACAACGATAGTGATGGTGGTGATATGTCTTTAACAGGTTACAGCAGTTGTGATTATGTCTGTTATCAGTTCATTTTTGGCAGCAGGACTTTTCATTGGTTTGATGGTTATGATTGCTAGATTGGAATCTGTCTATGACACTATTAGCTGTGAAGACAGCTGTCAGGATACTAAGGTACGCAAATCATTGTGTGTAAAGACGGAATTGGTTGTTTGTGAATGTGCATCAGATATACAATCATCCATGAATTGTTTGCGCATGTACAAAACTAATGACTCTCTAAATTTCAGGGTCCTGCTTATGGAATAATTAGTTTCGTGATCTCCATGACTTCATTAGAATGTGGCGTTGCAATTCAGGCTACATCCTTGAGTTGTGGTTGGTATTTCTATGACACACATGATCAGGTATTACTAGTTTATTCAGCTTAAACAGAGAACTACTTATTCACCACCCCTAGCTAGTTGCATGTATTCAAATTCACTCACTTTACATTGTTATGCGTGCCCCAAGAAATATTTGCACAGAAACATAGTTGAACTTGTTTGTTCACATTTTTGTTGATTAGGTCACCAACGAAACAGAAGAAGAAGACGCAATGCTACCTTAAAATCAAAACTGTGTGACAATGTATTATTATTATCAGTGTTATTATTCGTAGTATTATCATGGAAGGGTGTTTTCAAACTTCTTAGTATTAGTGATGAGACGGACAGATGTGTCCTGAACACGCTGGAGCTTTTTTATGTTGATAAACGAGATCCAATGAAGTAGACGTTTACAGTTGTGAAGTTTTGATGTCACAAAGACGTGGAAGAGAAGACGAACCATGGCATTAGTTAGGTGTTGTAGGATTTTGTAGATGTTGCTATTATGAGATTATGATGATTTGCAAACAAAGCTAACATTTCGTTCCATTTTCATTTGATGTCGTGCTCAGATTTTTAACTGTTGCTGTTGGTATGTGTTATCAATTTTCATGTGCGGCAGGTCCATTTCATAAGGCTGCATTATCTGGGTTTAATTTTAAAAGATTGTGATTACCCACTTGCGAGATAAGGGGAACACATACGGGGAATATTACTAGTTATGCTATGTTTTGAAAGATAAATGCAGTATTGCAATTAATTAAAATGATTGACTTGCATCTGTTATATATGAGTAGCTGTATTTGTATGTAGCAAACCATCCTAGATTAGAGGTGATAGTAAGGAATGGTTAGAAGTGTTAGAATGTTGAGTAAACAAATTATCAACTTCCTACACTAAAACAAATGATGTCCAATTCTTAAACATTGTTGGACATTTAATGTGAGCCAACAGTACTTTAAGCATACATTGTCTTGTGCAGCAATAGGCCAGTTACAAACAGAACTAGAGAAATGAGAAATGCAAAAACAAAAAGACTTAAACCAGACATATCATTTCCTCTGTAACTTGTTAACGACTGGGGAGAACAAACACTGTAGAAATTCATTAATAATTGTTCAATGTTTGTGTTCTCAAGATTAGGAAATGCAGTTCACATAAGCCTCTTGCATCTATCGCTGAAAACATCTTGAATAGTGTAGGTAACAAAACACAAGAATGAATGGTAACATCCACAAGAACATGTCCTTGTATATCACAGTACATAACATAGTAGCTACTCAAGAACATTAAAACATTATTCATCATAACTGTCAATTTAAGATTCACTGCAAGACATATATACTATGACATGAAAACTATTCATGTTCAGAAAGGTTAAGAGGGCATTAATTAAAAACAAAATATTTACTTTACATGTGATGGACCATGTACAGCTTAGTTCTATTGTAATCCTTTATCGCCCACAAAGGCGCTATATAACCTTGTACTGCAACCCCATAATATGTGATTTGACCACTTTTAACATGTCTTCTGGCATGTTGATATCGAAATTCCCCCTGATCTAGCTTTGATTGGAGTAGATAATATAATAATTGTTTTAATACACAGATCAATGGGCAAACCCATTCACAAACCAAATAAGTTTTACAAATACATGTATAGAAACAAACACACTAAAACTAAATGATGCGTAAAAATGTTATTTGAAATGGAAACAAAACAAAGTCATAAAACAAGTTAAATATAAATGTAAATAGATATCGAATCGTTAATCACAAGGAAGGTAGCATGTCACAACCACCGCCAATGGATATTTCCATTAGAAAAAGACAATGTAAAGTAAATGTAATACATCTGTAGAGAACCAATATACGACAATATGTTTCGCTTTTGTCCTAATAAACTTACTATCATGTTCACCATATTAACAGTTTCAGAAATACAGTGTTCATAGTTGCATGTCATTCATATTTGTTGGTACCCGTATATGCAGGTCATTAACCCTTATACAAAATGGCACAAAAAATGACTGCAAATTTAGACTAGCTACGCAATTCGGTCAAAACGAATTTATAATAGTCCCAGTAAATCACACAATTAGCTTATATAGCTAATAAACAGACAATTGGCGTGTATGGAGATATAAAAAATGTGCAAACATTTAAGTTTTACCTGATAAATATTTCTATTGTATTTTCTTCCAAATGTCAAGACCTAATTCATTCGATATTAAAATGCAAAAAAAAAATATGAAACGTATTGCCACCACACTTGTCCCAATGCACAATACCAAACACATTTATTTAATACCAAAAAATAGCAAATGCAAATTATGCGTAACCGTCGTTGCAGTGATACAGTCATAATATATTACACAGCTTTAATGAGATAAACTATTTGTAGTAAATACTGACAAAACAGATAAACACTATTAATCACATATTAAAAACAGCTTGGATACTCTCATTTAAACTCGCCAATTTGTTGAATTTTGTGTTTATTTTTTTCACTGACACCCAGCATCTACCAACTTTTGTTTTGACATTAATAATAACTAGATACCCACATATTTAATAGATTTGAATCCGTCGATTAATAATTCCTGTTATCGTTTAACTACATAATGCCATGTGAAACGCCATGGTACATGACGTGCAGCAATATCGTACACTTTTGAACTTTTCCTAAACGCCACTACACGATGAAAACATCCCATAACCACGATTGTGCTTCTGGCAGTTGGGATAGGAAAAATGAAAATCCATGTCGCCATACACATTAACCATTACATTGGCTGTGTTGAGTTGTTTCCATTTCAAATAATAAGTGACATGTTATTAGTTTAAGGTAGCAACAGGGGAAATCCCATTTACAGACTTCAAATTCACTAAAATTAGCGAATGTTTGTCACTTCTTTGTCAACGGCAATGACAGTGTTACAGTCACTATACAAATCAATCTTCTCCCTACAAAAGTTGCGTCTTCTAAATCATCTGAAACAGGATTTAATTTGCGGCTGAAGCCACTCAGTCGGACCCGTTTCTCTTCACTCGTGTGTTCATAATACTTTTTTTGTGCGTTCGCTCTTTAAATACTGAAAGTGTGTATACGGAAACTGTTGACACTGGCAATATAACGGAAACTTATTTACAATAACTAACATCCAAGCTGTAGAGATAACAGATTATTTGAAGCAACGTAATGCTATTGTTCACAATTTGTCCATTATTTGGATTATGTAAATAATTAAGTGGTTGTTTGCATTTTGGTTTCATTTGGAATGGCAAATGGAAGTCAGCTTGCTATGCTCTGTTTTCTCTCCAATTTACGTCGAAAATAACGTTAGTACTATTTTTGTTTTCGTTAGTTGTACTGAAAGAAAACACTAAAAGAAAGTGATATACCAATTATTAAAAAAAAAACATGAAAATTTGACCAGATTTCCCCTGTTGTTGTTTTCTAAATGTAACTATTCGTTTGCCAATTCGGTGTTCATTTACATTTATCATTGCCCGGGATATGTTGAGTTGTTTCTATTTCAAATACATTATTACGCATCATATAGGTAGTTTTAGTGTTTTGTTTGTATACATTTATTTGTATGTGTTCAATATCTGCACATGAATTTGGCCATTTTTCATTTTTAAATTCTGTGTATAAAAGCAAGTTGTGTATAACAAATATGTTGGATGCATTATACGATAAGGTAAATGATTAAATCGTAACTGGGCTTCTTTCATCGCCAATCATATCATCTACTCAGGTCAAAGGTCAATAATGAATGTGATTCTAATGTGATTCTAGCATAATGTTCTTGAGTGAAACATTCGTATTTGTTGAAGTAGTACTTATTGGGATATACAAGTACTTGCTCTTACCAATGTGATATTCCTTCATTCTAAGTATGGGAATATTGCAATATTATTGTCACACAAGTTGCTAAACCAGTCATCCATTGTTATGTCCGATAGTTTATTTTGGTACCGATAGGTGTTAATAACCAGGACCTATGTGAACTGAATACCCTATAATTGAAAGGACAAATATGGATTAAATTAATATATACACTATTGTCCTGTGGTTAACAAACTGCGAGGGTATGCATATGTCTGGTTGTAGATTTGTTTTACTTTCCTAAATATCTATTGTTCAAACTCAATTCTGAAAGTCTATTGCCGCACAAGACAATGTATACTTAAAAAACTGTTATCTCACAAAAAGTGTCCAACATTTGTTTTAAAAATTGTACATCATTTTTTCAGTTTTGAGAGTAGATAATTATTCTAACTTCACATTGTTATTCTCAAATAATTGTATCCTCATTGAAAGTCCATGATATATGGAAAAACTTATTGTGATATAAATACATAATGATCCAGAGAGTGCATGGCGGCCATATTTCAAATCGTATGCAAATAAACATGTATTGTACTTACATAATTTATACACACCAAGAATGACAAGTTGCAGGAAAAGTGGTGTGGTAATTGCTCGGAAATGGGAGAAAGAGATTAATCTGACAAACTTTTTTTGTAATGGAATGCGTGGGATATTCAACGAGTTGTAAAGTAATATCATAACCGATTTTTGTAAATAATGCCTCAAGTATGAGATTATCCCAATTGTTTTACTGATTTTGTTAACAATGTTATCGATATGGGGTCTCAAACAAAGTGTTGAGTCAAGTGACACCTAAATACACAGCTGGCGACACCATTCTTAATGACAAATCGTCAATTGATAATACGCCCTCAATAGTTGTTTTTGATTGAGCTGTCTGAAAAATCATGAAATTTATTTAATTTAATATTGAGTGTGTGAAGGTTTACAGAACGGTCTTTTGCAGAATAAAATAGACTGTTGTCATCAGCAAATAGTTTGAATGAAAGAAAAGGGGATGATCTAGAAATGTCATAAATATACACTAAAAAAAGAAGAGGGCCTACGATTGACCCTTGTGGTACCCCTGTGGAAATAGTTTCACAGTCGGAATCATTGTTTTTAGTACTGACATATTGTTGCTGACCGTCCAAAATAGTTTTAAACCAGTTCAAAGTTGACCCTCTAATCCCATATTGTTGTAGCTTAGCTAGCAAAATACTGTGATCAATGGTATTAAAAGCCTTTCGCAAGTCTGTACTGACACAACACAAGGGATATATTTTTTCAACTAAAATTAATCTTGTTTCGATATCAGTATCGACGTCTTTCAGTGCCTTTTGCTCACGCATCTACCAAA